ATCGAGTTGCCAGCAAGGTTGCGAGGCAAGGAGAAACAACAAACAACAAACCCAAACAACCAAAAAACCAACAAAACCAACCACAGAGCCGCAAGGGTTTTTTTTCCACGAGTGCGGACGCCGTGTGGGCGGAGTGCCCAGGTCATCATTGAAGGGGGAAAAGAACACAAGCAACCCCAAAACCAAACAAAAACACCAAACAAAAACCAGAACCCAGAACAAAAACACCACCAAAGGCCAGAGGCCGTTTCTCCCTCATCTAAAAGTGTTTCCTCTGTACCAGGGTGAGACATGTGAGAAAGACTGCGAACTAACTAAGGGCCTGAATTCACTATGAAAGTCGGACGGCACAAGAGCGGAGCGCAGCAAAGCCTATCAAAGGGGCTTCGCCCCACCCACCAAGCTGTGACCAAGGAGGCCACTGCATCGAATGGCAAAACGATGATCAGGTACTATGCAAGACCTGCATTGTTTATTGTCAGCCAGTCTGATCCTTGCCCAGGGGAGTCAGTGATTGCTCTGCCTAGCAAGCCATGGAAAAAGCCCATCTCGTTGCACAACCCTTTCAACTGATTGCACAACAGAGACGAGAGGCATATCAATTGTCAGGCAGTGGAGGCAGAGACAACGAAAGCGGTTTGCTGACGAAGGTGATGCCATCCCCCCCGTAGGGAGGTCAACTTTGCACCCCTTAGCAAACAAGGAGTGCCATTGGGGTACTCTCTGTTTCAAAAAGAGAGAGCGGCACTGAGTTGCAAAACGTCTCCTGTTGCATGCAAGGCCCGGGTGAGACAGGTGAAACATGGACCCTATCCTAGCATGGTACTTGTGCCTCTTTGTACAGCAATGGTCATGGCGTGGTCGCTGCAAGGAGAACTAAGGTTCCCCTGGCAACCTTCCATTACCATTCTCTACGACCCGCCTATAAGGAGCGAAAGCTAAGGCTCTCGTTCCTACAGGCTCACTGTAATGTAGTTACTGGGGCCGGAAGGATGGTTTAGCCTGAGCTTTCTTGAGCTTGCCTAGCACAAGTAATCGAAGTGGCTGGGGAGCAATGCACCACTACTATTGTTAAAGCGTTGTCAGCCTGGGGTGAGGCTTCTTGAAAGTCTTCTCTCTATTGGTCGTTGTCATTTGGCGGCAGGAATCGAAGCCACTTGGGCTTGTCTAGTTGCTCACATTTGTCAAAAGCATTGGGTCGGGCATATGTACCTCGCCATGTCTTGCTTTTCCCCTTTTTCCAAAATGCTCGAAGATGCGTACAGCCTGCAAAGGCACGCCGGGCAATGTAAAGCAGGGACGGTGGGGTGCAGACTTCTTGCAGCGAGGTGCAATTGAGAAATCTTGCTCTATAATTCGTAAGTTTTGGGAAAGGCTGAGTTGTTGTAGTTGTGCGCAGTGTGCAAAGGTTGAACCCAAAATTTCACTGACTTTCGTTTGGGACAAATCCACCGTTCGCAGCTGCTGGCAACTTGCGCACGCAGCCGTTTCTATCCTGTGAAAGTCTCACGGCAGACAGAGCGCAACGACACCTGCCTCCAAGAAGCAACAGTCAGGCAGACTCCGGTTTGGCTCAGTGGAGCCTTGCCCTTTCTTACCGAGGTTGAGGTGCTGGAGGGCCGTGCATCCTTGAAACACACGGGGCCTCAGTTGTGCTTGGGGGGCGAGTATATTGTCAGGGCACTGCGTCACTCCTATTCGAGTTAGGGCGCAACATTCCTCGAATACCTTAGGGCCGAAATGTTGGCAGGCCGGGACAATCACTGCGCGCAAGGCTCGGCAGTATCTGAACGCACCATGCAGCAGACTGACTACCGTTGCTGGCAGTTGGACCACGTAGCTGTCGACAGCTTCTCCATGCTGCTTCTCCTACAATCCTCATACCGGGTTCAACTAGGACATGTCGGACTTCCGTGTGAAAGGAGAAGGCTTGCGGTGGGATTTTGTCGTGCTTACCTCGCGGCACTCTGATTGCCTTGGCTTCCCCTTTGATCTGCCCTTTGTGCGCTGCCTCTACTAAACAAGGCCGAGCAATCACATAGTAGCAGTGGTTGGCTCCGAGTTTGCTCCGTATGAGATCTGCTAGAACTTGGCAGGTGTCGAGTTGCACGAACTGCAATTCACACCCCAGAGTGCTACTACTTCCTAAACAGGGGAGCTCTGCTGGTACGGCATTCTCCAAACTCCGAATGCCGGTATGTGCACTCAGATCTCCCTCAATGGACAGTCTCTCTCCTGCCAGCGTGAGAAAGGTACAGGACTGTGTAACCATCCCTTCTGCACAGCGGTGAGGACTGAGCTGAAGCGTAGCTGTTGGCACATCACTAGCTTGAGGACTCTAGCTTGAGCCATGAGAGCTGCAGTGTATGTGTGCGTAGTTTCTTCTCACCCAAGTGCGGAGCATGAATGGTCATCCACTCCCTTGGCTTAGAGGCTGCGGGCACGAACGGCTAGTGCCGTGGTCGCTGGCACGAGTTGCTTGGCCGGACTCGAGCTAAGGCTCGCGCCCATACTAGATAGACTGTGGTAAAACCACAGGCTGTTACATTTGGCCAGGGGCCGTTTAGGCTAGACCAGAGACATACCCTGTGTCCGGAATCATGTGCAGCCATGGTGGCCATCGCATGTTTGGGCAAATAGCAAAGGCGTTTTCTTCAGCATAGACCCCTCGCCATTTATGCCGGCCAGGCAACTTTTCGCGGCGGGAATGGTGCATAAGCACTCCGCCAGGGAGCTACGTCAAGTGAAATGTGCAAACATTGAGTAGAGTCGCCAACTTGTTCTCGACATCCACGATACAGAAGCCAACAGGAATGAGAGCCTTAGCTCCTCGTTCCCAACAGGTGGGTGGTAGAGAATGGCTGGGCTGTGGTTGGTTTTGTTTGGTTTGTTGTTGAGTTGTCTTTGTCCCTTTCTCCACCATCTGATTGTATTTTTCCCTTCCTTCAATGATGACCTGGGCATCATGCCCACATGGCGTCCGTACTCGTGGAAAAAAAATGCCGGCCAGGCAACTTGACAAGCCTTTTGAAGGCAGTACAGTCCAAGAAAGCTCTGCTCGCTATGTACTTAAGTGAGGGTGGTATAGCAAGTTCTGGCAGGGCTGCACAATTCATAAAGGCCTTTAACCCGAATTACGGGTTACTCTGTACTTCTTGGTGGAAATGAATGGGTTCGGTCCCACGTCACTCGGTGTGTGGATCCACTCCTTCCTTTGCTTCTCTCGGCGCGTGGTGTGGTAAGGGGAGCGCCCCTGGCTGCGCCAGGTGTGTCTCTGGCCACTGGTAGAGGTAGAGCCAAGGGCTCCCTCCCAGTGCGCTAACACCTGGAGGCCAAAGCTCCCAAGCGCACTGGGAACTCCAAGTTTAGAATTCAACTCGCGGGCCACAAGCAGGCGCTTAGGGACCACATGGGCTACAGTCAGGAAGCCTCCGACCCAAGTAATAAAGCTCGCCGTACTGTCCCCCCTCCAGGAGCGGGAAGCTCCTCGTCTGCAGCAGGTGCCTTCCTAGTAGGCCTCCCCCATCGCCTTCGCCCTATGGGTGGTCCTATGGGTGGTGGCAGTAGGGTAGTCGCCAGCAGGAGTCCTCCCACACAGCAACCGTCTCCTTGTCGCTCGACCTTCTCCATGAGATGGGTGGCCTTAGCCACCCTCTTTCTTGTTGCCTAATTGCCATCATGGTTTTCGCAATGGCTACATATCCGTTATCTCAGTTGTTTGGCTCAAGCAAATCGAGCAAACACGCTCGGACTACCGCCTACGCGACTGCCGCCTCACCAAGACCGTTATGAGGTCAGCCTCGAGTTGGTTACAATAGCAGGCACGGAATATGCAATGCAAGCAGACCTCTCCCATTATGAGGATGTGGCAGAGCTGGAAGACGACATTCTTTGCTTTCTGCCGACAGTCTCCGGACTTAGATGCCTTCGGCTGTGAATTGGATTTGCTCGACCTTCACACGCAGCAACCCCTGACAGAGGCATTCCACACGGTGCTCCTGCAACGACCGCAGCTACAAATTGTAGTTCGTCCCTGCATGGGAGACGGACATTCCATCTGGCAGTTCCAGGAAGACGGAAAGGAAAGGTACCCCAAAGCTGTACGTGTCCCGGCCAACCCGCGTGGAAATTGATGACAGAGCTTTTTCTGCTGCACCCTCGCTCCGGCACGTAGAAGTGGCAATGGGCATTCAACATGTAGGATTCGCGGCCTGGCAGAGTTGTCAGCAACTGCAAATTGTCAAGCTTCCACCCTCAGTCATAAGTCTTGCGAAGGGACTTTCCAGGGGTGCTGTGTGCTGCGAGAGGTGGCCGCCCCGGGGTGTGTCCAACGCAGCCGAAGGGTGTTTGCGGAGTGCTGCTCCCTAGGTTGAGTTGGGGTCAGTCACGAAACTGAGGATAGCAACGTCCTGGCACCAGGGGCACAGCTGGGTAAATGTGCATTCGAGAGTTGCCTCACGCTTACAACCATCACCTTTGACATGGACCATACTAACAAACCTCGAGCGCTGCCTGAAGGTGCATTTTGTGACGCAGGCATTGAACAGCTCTGTTTGCCGAGTGACTTCCACAATATCGGGCCGCGGGGCCTGTGAAAATTGCAAAAGACTTGTGGAGGTCAACCTCATGGGCACAGAAATCACAGCCCTACTCTCTGCCACATTTGCCCACTGTAGCCTCACATTGTATATGGCTTCCCCCACGACTCACGCAAATTGGCAAAGAAGTTTTCCTCAATTGCGTTGCGCTGCAAGAAGTTGTCATCCCGACAGAGCTCAGTGACATAGG